GGCGAGTAGGGTTCTAAGGGTTCTTGCCCTTGCTTTAGGACTAGGTCTAAGACCGTATAGCAGCGTAGACATCTATACTGTTCTTAGTAACCGCGTAAACATTAGTAACTGCGTCCGGATCCTAAGATACAAAGTTGACTTTAATAGGCTTAGTAGTACTATTACTGCTCCGCTCCTTAACCTGTTTTGCCCTAACCTTCTAAGTTTCTCGTTTAGTAATAGCGGCGAGGGTACTATTCCTAGTATCCTTAAACTCGATCTTGCTACTATACTTCTTCTCTAGAAGACTCCTAAGTTAAGGCAGCTTCGGAGCTCTACGATCCTACTCGAAGTTAATCTTGTCGCCGGTATCGGTATAGTAGAACCGACTATTTACTTATATAACGAGCTTCCTCTTAAGAAGCTCTTTCTAGATAGGGCAGTCTAATTAAACATATTTGAAACCGCCGTATATCTAGTACTTACTATCTAAGTTAGAACAGATCTTTCGCATAGCGTAGACGTTAACTAAAGGGGCCTTAGGGTAGTTAGGATCGGAAATCTAGTAGACCGGTAGTACATCCTTTAGTATACTAGCATTAATAACCTCCCTAACTCGCTATAGTACTTTCGTATTAAGATTGAGCTAGGCTAGGGATTTAGCTAAGTCCGCAACGTCCTAAGAATGCTTAGTAACGGTAGGAGTTACGGTACTAGGACTACTTTGCGATTTAGGAAGAAACTTAGGCCCTCTAGTTCCCGAGGCATCGTTCCTTACCTAGGCTAGGTTATTCCGGTCCTCGCCGTAAATGAACTTCTTTATATTAGCGGAGCTATTAATGTCGTCCTTAACAGCCTCTAGGACCTCTTTGTACTTCCTAAAGGTCTTAGGATTAGCTTCGCTAAGCTTATAGCGACGGAAGATACGCTTAGCCGTAGACTACGGCAACCCTTTAAGGAGTAGCCTCGTTCTCTAAGAATTCTCGAGGTCCTACTAGTCGATGCCGTCCGCTAACTTAACAAACTCGCGGACGTACTCCTTTAGGTCGTTATCTTCGGTGCGCCTCTCTATATAGAGGTTCTTAAGCTACGTACGACTGCCTTTAATACGACGGCTATCGCGATCCCGATACTCCCTTATAAAGGCCTACTTAAAGACCTCCTAGTCGGCATTAGACTTGTCGTCCTTTTCTAGGTAGCTAACTAGGGTTCTAAGGGTTCGGTAAAGCTTAGTAATAGTAGTCCTCGTAAGGGACCGGACCTTGTACTAGTCCGACTCCTCTTCGAGTCCGTATTCGGCTAAGTTATCCTTAAAGCGTTCTACGTACGCCGTAGCGTTCTACCCTTCGAATAAAGGGTTCCTACTACTTCCTAGCTCTAGTAGGCGACGCCTGTTCTAACAGAGAAGGTTAGTTTGCCCTTAAATTATCTTTATAACGACATTATAGAGGGCCTCGGGCGTAGAAGGCTCGATAGCCCCTAGTTCGACGGCGCTTATAATAACTAGTCGTCGCCTGATTTCTTCGTTAATAGGGTCCGGTAGGTTATCAGATTCCGAAGATTCCGCTAATTCGTAATACTCGTTTTCGCTAGAGCTAGAGCTTATTCGATTATCGTAAAGTAGTCAAAATGAAATGCTATAGGAAAGTGTTTTTAGCGCATATTGCAGGTTTGGTTTGTTTCGATATTGCTATACAAGAGAATAGTATGCTAGGCTGTTTTCTTCTAATATTACCCCCGGGATAGCATTGGAATTTAGCCTCCTAGGGGTCGCCTATATACCCCTAGGAGCTAAGTTTAGTATCAGACGAAAGCCGCTCGGAGGGAGAGACTGCAATCTCTATTTATACCTGGATCCTAGAAACTAGCTCGTATCTCCTTTAGCTAGGCGGGGGGGGCGGGGACCTTCTTTTTTCTAGTAGAAGGCTAAGCACTGTCCGAACGAGGCAGCGAATCCCAAAACAATCTACCCGGTTAATAGGGGAACTGTCTAGGCATCCGACCTATAATCTAGAAATTGCTATCGTATAGATAGTCTTAGCAAACTAAGTAAGGCCGATAGGTAATTAGTCTATCTCCTCCTTAGGCGGGCGGTAGCTTATCTCGAGTAAGCGGTACTAAATAGGTCTTCGACCCGGAGCCGAGTCCTTAGAAGCTAGCTATAGTTATAGACTAGGCCCTAAGCTGTAACAGTCCTAAGGGTTTGTAGCTTTTCGGGGTTAAAGCGATGCCCTCGTTAAGAGGTTTCTCTGCTTGTCGTAACGGCCCCTTAAGATACTTCGGTATCGTCCGTATCGTAGGCTCTTATCGTGCCCTCGCTTCGGTTATAGCTATTCGTACCTAGAGACTACCTTTAATATACCCGAACCTGTTAGATATAAAGAGATAGCCCTACCTTCGGCTCTAATAAAGGACGGAAACTAATACCACTACTACTACTTATAGCAATAGTATAAGCTACCGAGGGTAATATAACCTATAGCAATATAGGCAGCTATGTTTAGCAAGATAGGATAACGAGACTGTCGCTTAGGCTAATAACTAGAGCCCTACAATATAGGCATTGTAGAAGTGTAATATAAACAATGTACTGTACGAGGTTAATGCTCTATCTACAATATAGAAGGAGGCCTCTTATATAGGCTTAAAACTGGCCTATAGGTGTAGGGCCGGTTACTAGCCAATACTAGCACTATTCCACCCTCTATAGCGCTTATAAACACCTTTAACTTATCCCTTATCTTTATACGAAGACTATATAGTAGCACGTCGACGGCGAGGAGCTTATCTAGCTCCTTCTTAACTATTTAGAGTGTCTAATAGCCTGTTATAATAGCCGGCTTTACCTTATTGAATGCCTCTCGCAGCTCTAGATACCGCTTCGCGAGCTAGTCGTAGTACGCTCGTATATACTTTAACCTATTCAGAATAGTAGCCTTGCTTTTAACGATCGGCGAAGAGCGGGGATTTTAGTATACAGGCAGATTGAATTAAGCTTATTGTAGCATTATCTAAGGCATAGTATAGCCTAGCGGTATAGTATATAGATTAAATAGCGGTATAGGACTATAATATAGCATTGTCGGAGGTGCCGTAGGCGCCGGAGTAGCTATTTCTTCGCTTATAGAAGCAGTCTTAGGCTTCTTTTTGCCTCTATTAATATCCGTATATATTATTTGGACCTTCTAAATAAGCTAACCTAGCATGTCGTCTATCGTTATAGTGCTAGCATTAATAGCGTTGCGCTATTCTTCTAGATATAAGCCTAGAAGCTAGTAATAAGTGCTATCGTACTATATATAACAACCGACGTTGCTGCCCTTCTTTATATTAGTATACTGCCTGTCTTTATACTTAAATCGACGAAGCAAGGTCTTATAGACTTCTAAGCCTTCCTAGTAGGTTATCTTAGTGCGCTCGTTAGTATTACGTATAGATTTAATGCCCTTCTCTTTCTATATAGTAGGTAGCTTGTCTTAGTCGGATTTAACAAGGTCTACGTTATCTTTATTAGATAATATCTCTTGCTTATTGCCCTAGTATTTATTAACAAATATAGTAACCTATCGCTTAGCTTCTATACTATAAGCAATAATCTCGTCTACTTTAGTTTGCTAGTTAGTAAGTACGTTAAATATAGCGCTATCTATCTTCTTAGAAGCGCCGTACTTAGTAGACTCGATAATAGTGTCTCTCTTAATAAGATAGCAATAAAACCCCTGCTTCTTCGCGTAGGTTTCCGCCCTCTGTTTCGTATCCTAAAGTAGACTAGATATAATGTCGAGGTTGCCTTTATAGATAGTCGTCTTATTACTTAGCTTATAAGTCTTAGTTTGCGGCTTCTAACGGTTACTAATAATTAATACAAACAGTGTCTTAAAGACGACTTTGTACTAAATAATAGTTGCTTGCTAACTATCTGCTAGCTTGCTAGTAGGTATAGATTTGCGGCCGCGTTTCTTAATAACTATAGCACTATTTTTATCCTAGTTACTTAGAGGTCTATTAGATATATTAATAGTATTATTCTATGCATTAGTTTGTGTGTTAGCGGCGTTACGTAGTTGTTTAGTAGACGCCTATCGTTTGCGCTTCTACGAAGCTAAGGATTTTAACGCCTCCGCCTTATTCGCCTTCCCTACCTTCTACCCCTTCGGCGGAGTAACTAAAGGCGTAGTAGCGGGCTTAGTCTTTGTCTTAGCGCTAGTTTTGCGTAGTTTCTAAGCTTTCTAAGAAAGGGTAGTCTTACTAGTACTAACCTGCGCGCTCGGTAGTAGGGTAGGCATTAGGTCCTATATAAATAATATCCTATTCTTTAGTTTGCGGCTTCTTATATCTATCTCTTACTATTCTTCTACTTCTTCTTCTTCTTCTTCTACTTCTTCTTTATTAACTATACTCGGTATATAGAAGCAATAGTTACTAAGCAAATCCCTAGTAAATAGTTTCTCGTTCGACCGACCTTTATCTCTTTATAGTACCGCTACCGCTAGATTACGAGCCTATATATCTTCGATATAGTTATCGATAGAAGGTATAGTATACTACTACTACGTCTATATCTAAACTAGTAGCAGTTAAATAGCCGACAATTGCTGCGAATATACTAAAATTATAGCTTAGGCGAGGGCGGCGAGGCTAGCGAGGTTAGGACGACTATTCGGATATACTAGTAGTTTAGTACTACCTAGAGGCGACGATAGTATATTATTATCGTTACTAGATACCGAGGAAACTATAGTTTGAGGGTGTTGTTAGTATTCAATGCTATACTACAGTATCTACGGAATAGTGGTAGTTCCCGCCTTGGCAATCCCGACCCTTTTGACTCTAAGAATATCCGTTGGCTGGTTGATGCTGCAGCAAGGATCGTACGGTGGCTTTTCCGCCTGAAATTGAATACAGATGCCGACCGGCTAAATGTACTTTCTCCTCTCCAACATCACCAACTTGCGCTGAGGGCAAGATGGCAGAATCCATTGACGCATGCGCAGACGCGTGTAGCGAAATATGGGCCCGAGATGCTTCTCGCCGCCTTCATTTCGCTCCTGCTCACTGTGCATGAGGTTCTCGCCAAGATAGACCGCAAAGCAGTTGTTGAACAGTTCAACCCCAAGCGAACAGCTTCCGACACTTCGACGCCTCTTCAGGTGGGCAATGGAGACTTCGCGTTTGGGGCAGACATTACTGGGCTGCAGACCTTTCTGCCGTACAACACTTTGACTGCCTGGTGTTGGCACAACTCCTCCTTGCCAACCACGCCAAACCAGACTCAACCATCCGACTACACAGGCCTCGATTTATGGACGCATGGCAGACTCGTCAACTATAACCAGCCCAATCCCAAAGAGGCAGACATAACGCGATGGATGATTGCCAATCCACACAGAGTGAATGTCGGTCGGCTGGGACTCTGGTTTGGCGATCATGGCGTGAACGAGACTCATTTGGAGGACAGAAGCCAGGTGTTGCATTTGTACAATGGCACCATATACTCATCATTCCGATTGAATGGAAGCGAGGTGAATATCAGAACAATAGCCGATCCGGCTTCGTCGACAGTCGCTGTAAGCATTGATTCGGACCTGCTCAGAGATGCATCAATCGGGATTTTTCTCGACTTCCCGTACGCTACCGACAAGGCCAAGTTTGAGGCCCCTTTTGTTGGTCTATTTAACGCCACAGCCAATCATACCACCAATATAGTCCAACAAAACCCGCAGCAGGCTCGCGTGGAGCATAATATGGATGCAACCACGTATTACACCACCGTGCAGTGGAATCAGCAATCCGCGACGTTCTCACGAGAAAGCCCACACGATCACAAATACATTCTCAAGCCTCGAGATACGACTTCTCTACATCTTACAGTATCATGGCATCCCGAATATGAGGGCGCAACTTCGACTCCCTCAGTCGACTCTATAAGCTCGGACAGCGCCAAGGCTTGGGCGAACTTTTGGGAGCAAGGAGCATTCATTGATTTGACGTGCTCCAAAAATGCCACTGCAATTGAATTGCAACGCCGCATCATTCAGTCGCTTTATAATCTCGCCGTCAACAACGCCGGCTCCGATCCACCTCAGGAATCAGGCCTGGTCAATAACGGCTGGTACGGCAAGTTTCACGCTGAGATGTTCCCTTGGAACGTAGGACAATGGGCTCGTTGGGACAGATGGGATCTCTTCCGTCGCTCGATGCCTGGCATCTACGAACGCTTTCTGCCGACGAGCATTGAAAGGGCTCGAAAAGCGGGATACAAGGGCGCAAAATGGGGCAAGATGAGCGATCCCTCTGGTCGTAGTGCGCCGGGAGACTTGAACAGTCTACTTATCTGGCAACAGCCACACCCAATGCACCTCGCCGAATACGAATGGCGATCGTTCCCGCACGATGGAACTTTGGCGAAATGGGATAACATCTTGAAAGAGACTGCCGACTATCTCTCGGACTTTGCTTACTGGAACGAGACCACTGGAGTCTACGATCTTGGGCCGCCAATGTATCCAGTGAGTGAGAACACGATTGCCAACGAGACTCGGAATGCGGCGTTTGAAATTGCATACTGGCGTTTCGCGCTTGATGTCGCGCTCAAGTGGCAGGCAAGGCAAGGTAAACAAGCACCGAAGAAATGGCGGGATGTGATGAATCGCCTCGCGCCTCTACCACAAGACGACGGAGTTCATGTCATCTACGAAGGCATACCTGACATGTGGCACAATAAGAACTACACGGAAGATCACCAAAGCATGCTGATGCTCTATGGCTGGCTTCCACCAGTGGCTGGCTTCAACATTTCCGTCATGCAAGCGACCGTCGACAAGGTCTATGGGACTTGGAATTTTACGTATTCTTACGGATGGGACTTTCCAGTACTGGCCATGAACGCCGCCAGAATGGGCCATGTGGAGAAAGCAATTGACTTTCTAGTCGATCCTTCATTCAAGTTCGACGACGCTGGTTATCATATTGGCGGACCGCGTGTGGCCACGCCCTATATGCCAGGGGCCTCAAGTTTACTCTGGGCGATTGCGATGATGGCTGGTGGTTGGCAGGACAATCCAGGGCCACGGTTTCCTGATCAGTGGAAGGTTGAGGTCGAGGGGTTTCAAGCTGCGATTTGATGTAGAATAGAACCTATAGGACTTAGATGATGAGCAGTACCGCGCTTGAGACTTTACTGAATATCGTCTTTTGAGCCCGCGGTGTGAGATACGCGCTCTGAGAGAGTCACCCGTGTTCCCACAACAAACGATGCTCTGCGGCCTTCTCTCCTCGCTTCGACACGGATCTCATTATTCTCACACTTGTCGTCGCGTAGCATCGCCGACGCTGTGGCACGAGAGCCTGATCCAAAGAACTTTTCCAATGCAACGTTCTCCCGGCCAAACGGTCGATTTGCCTTCCCGTTCATATTGCTTCTGACAAGGGCATCAGGACGGGTCCTCCATAGAACAAACTATCGTGAGAGAAGATGATTCCTGAGGTCATGTCGGCAGCGGACGGGCCAGAACGATAGCAGAGCCAAGTCTGTTCAACGATTTCGCCGCAGCCAGACATGATGGAGTCGGCTAGAATCTCGGCCAGTTGTGTCGAGGCGGCCGGGAAGTGGAGGGGCATGTGGAGAGAGACTTTCGCAGATGGCCACCATGTGAACTTCCTCCAATCAGCACGACAGCAAACACTTGGTGAACAGCATGTTTGCTTGCTGTTTCTCAACCGTCGGGAGTCTTTGCCCACGTCGGAGCGTGCCCGTGCCAGAGACGCGACGATTCCCGATTGTTCTTGTGGTGCATGCGCTGCCCACTCCCAGATCCGGCCTCTGCATGCCCTCCTCCGGTTGACAGCGCCAATGCCAGCGGCGGCATCGTAGTCGCTCGAGCCATTCGTTGAAGCAGCACTTGCCTGGAGGAAGCGGATACATATACACCTGCCGCGGTTGTCGCAGCGTGCCTGCCCCAGAGGTTCTCAAATACGTGCGAAGCATCAGTAGCTCGTTAGTACCTACCACTTGATATCCCACCTCCGCCATCATGCACCACGTTCACTCCTCGAACGACCTCCCTAACACCTTCATGTCAGCTCCCGCACGCGCCGACTCGCCCCTCGGTCCGCACGCTGAGTGCCTGAACCCTCCCAGCATGCCGGACAATATCCTCGACGATATCTCCCACCGCCGATACAATGCCCTCCGAGGCTCGTGGGTGTTAGTATCACCACATCGGACAAAGCGCCCATGGCAAGGGCAGCAGGAAGAGCCTAGCAAAAATGTTCTGCCAGAATACGATGCAGCAGTACGTGCGAGCATGTGAGTCTTGGCGGCTCTGCAGGAGGGCTGATAGATCCCCAGTGCTACCTATGTCCTCGGAATAAGCGTGCACAAGGCGATACCAACCCTGATTACGAGAGGACGTTCGTATTCGTAAACGATTATTCGGCAGTCAAGGAAGAGCAAGCAGAATACCATCCACCCAAGGAGAATGGCAGTATGTGGGATATGGACAGACGAAATTGAAGGCGCAGCTAACATGTCTGGATAGCACTTGCTTCGAGACTATTACGAGCAGAAAGCACTCAGGGAAAATGCTATGTGATAACGTTCTCGCCCGCACACAATCTCACATTGGCCGATATGCCACCTCAAGATATCCTGCCAGTGATTGATACCTGGACCAAAATTTATACGACACACCTTGACCCCCACTCACCCCTCGCCAAATCAGCAAGATGCAACACACTAGCGAACGGCACATCAGTAGAAGTGCCAAAGGACCAATACCGGTACATGCAAATTTTTGAGAACAAGGGCGCTGCTATGGGTTGCTCAAATCCTCATCCACACGGTCAGGTATGGACGACAACTTCTTTACCTGAAGAGCCAAGCTTGGAACTCCAGAACTTGAAGCAATATCGGAGAGATCACAATGGATCGCATCTTCTTGTGGACTACGCCAAGCTGGAAAGCGAAAGTGGTGAGAGGACTGTGTTTGAGAATGAGAGCTTCTGGGCAGGATGTCCTTGGTGGGCAACGTGGCCATTTGAAATCATGGTGATTGCAAAGAGCCATAAAAGAGCGCTTGTCGACTTCAGCCAAACCGAGAAAGAGGATCTGGCAGAGACGATCGCTGAGATCACCAGAAGATATGACAATCTTTTCGAGACCAATTTCCCATACAGTGAGTAAAGCTCACCGGCTTTCAGGATTTGGCTAACCGTTTCCCAGGTATGGGTCTCCATCAAGCGCCTTTGACTGGAACCGATGAGGAAATTGAATCTTCACATTTCCATATGCACTTTTACCCACCTCTGCTACGAAGTGCGACGGTGCGGAAGTTTCTGGTTGGTTACGAAATGATGGCTGAGCCTCAGCGAGACATTACGCCAGAACAAGCTGCGAAGCGATTACGAGGATGCGGTGGTGAGCTGTACAGGAAGAAGTTATGATGACGGGGCAATGCAAGGACGGATGCGGTACTATAGACGGGAGAACAGTTGGGATGGTATTACATCTGGCTGTGCGTGAAGCGCGCCAGCAATGCATGGCGATGGCGTTTACAGGCGAGATACACATATATGGAGGGTGATGGCATGTAGAGGAGGTACGGGAGGCAAGAGCTGTTCTCGTGCTTCAAAGCAGAACAATATCTGTAGACCAAGCTATGACTATGATGAAGATGGTGAACACACAGAAGTTGCTCTACATCGACATTCATCGTGAAAGCCAGTCGCTGGAACCGGTGCGGAATGGTATGTGCGCTGGCTGTATCGGAAGACGTGCGGTGCAAGGGTGAGGCGGGTTGGCGGGTCCATATTAAACCCACGTCGGGTTTGACTTCTTCTTGCCAACTCCTGAAGACACGTGCGACCATTGCAATAGTGTGCCGCAGTGACACAAACGACTGTACGGCATTTGGGGCCAAGAATGGCACATACGGAATCTCGAACGGGGACAACGAGGAAGAGCGGGACCAACAATATGAACTCATGTACTCATGCTCTGGATACTGGAACAGCTACTCTGGGTATTATCGCAAAATCAAATCGCTACAGATCTTTCGCCAGCCGCGCTACCGGCGGCACATACGTCTTGCGTGCAAACAGCAAGTAATAAATGCTGGCCACGACTCCCACGCCACCATATACAGCCGAAGCCCAGTTCATGGTCGACAGTGTCGGGTGGTTGAAAAGTGGGAAAAATGCGAAAATGTACGCGAGGATGATGTAGCAGAGTCCGACGACATTGCAAAACCAGCCGAAAGGGACTCCCAAGCTCCAGCGACGCGGCAAGAGCTGCTCTCCTCGGATACGTTTTAGGAGGATGCAGCCCATGGATGTCATGTAAGATGTCAGCAGCGCGACGACACCAATCGAGAGGATGGCGTTGAAGGCCACGATACTGCCGAGGTTGATCAAGGAGAGCAGCGCTGTGCAGATGAAGCAGATCATGACGGCGTTGAATGGAATGTCCCAGCCTGGGCGCACGTAGCTGACGAATCGTGCAAACGGAAGACCGTTGTCTCGTGCGAATGCGAACATCTGGCGCGAAGCAGTTGCAACATTGCTGATAGCCGAGCAGAGAGTGATGACCGTGATGATGCACGTCATCACCGTTGTACCCGCGTGCGACTGAGTGGCGTTGTAGAAGGTGCCAATAAAGGCGAAGTTGTACGCGGGCGTCAGAGCTGCATCAATGGGCCCAATGCAGTAGGCGAAGGTGATAGCCATGACCAGACCAGTCAAGCCGTTGAGGACCAAGGTCGACACCATAGCCCAGGGGATGGTCCGCGAAGCATCCTTGACTTCCTCTGCCATGTGCACGCAAGAATCTGGACCAATCAGGGCGTAGATGGGACCAGTGAAGGCGACAAGTCCAGCGACGCCCATCGATGGCCAGTCAGCAATCTGCGTCCATTCCGTCCATACTGCAGCGCTGGATTGCTTCGGGGCAAAGACCCAGAGAGGGATGAGAATTGCAAAGAAGCCGAAAACCAGGAGAATCAGGATGAGGCCTTCCAGGAGCGGTAGCTTGCGGGCGAGGAAGCTGTTGAAGATCACGGAGACTGAGGCGGTGGCAATCGTTAGGAGGACACCATGCCATGCCTTCGGAATGTAGGTTGCATCATTGAGCACGATCAGGCCCTGGACTTGTGTTGCGACTGTGAAGCATTGGCCTGCAATTCCTGCTTGCCACCCCAACACACAAAACCAGCCAACAAGATAACTCATGATCTTCTGGAAAGACGGAGGGGCAAATTCGGAGACCCACTACAGCAGAAGGCACATGTCAGTTGCAATTCCCGGTCACCACTCTTGTCGGGATATACGCACATGATACTGTCCTCCACTCGTCGGTGCCATTGATGCCATCTCTGCCATGGACAAAATCGCACAGCCGAAGCCGAACAGCGTAACAATGTAGATCCAGATCATTGCCGGAAGACCGCCATTTGGGAGAATATAGCTGACCGAGCTCAACACTGACGCCCAAGTCATCATCAACACTGCCGCAAACCCGAAGATCGGGATAAAGCTGAAATTTCGCTTCAAGGCACATCAGCTTCAATCCTCTTGCGCGACTTGCGCGACTTGCACGACATTGCTCACCTTCAATTCCTGTGTCTTTCCCATACGAGCCATATCTCGCCTGTCCATCGCAGTGCCGGCTTTCTCCTGCGGCAAGTCTGTGGCCTCGAAGGCCTCGTCTTTCACCTGGGACGAGACCATCTTGCCTTCATTGCCATACACATTCCTGGCTGACATGGTTGCCACCCGCTGCGAGCAGTCGCAGACCAGAGAGGATAAGGAGAGGTTCGAGCAGAAACAAGGGAAAGACTTGTGACAGGGTGGGAAAAGTAGCACAGACACGCTGTGCCACGTGGCGACCGAGATGCCAGAGTTATAACGAAGAACGATGCTTCGCTGGCGTGCGAAAGTCAGGAAGGCAAGATAGCAAGGAGTTTCGTAATCAGGAGAGTGTCGATCGACTCGTCGACCTTCCGGGGTTGGGCAAGGCGCAGAGTATTCTCGGCCCAAACAAGAGCTGCGATTCAAGTCGCTACTCATCGACGTGGGGTCTATGCCGCTATACTAGCTCAGTCTAGCTGTGGTGCCGGTAAGCTTGCTCGGTCACCAGGGGCCACATCCATGGTCGCCGCTCCGGCCTCGTCCTGCTGCTGCCGTTGCCGTCAAGGAGGAGACCTCGCGAATTGCGCGAGATTGTGCTCACGATCCTGTCAACGGTTGCTATACCGCATGCTACTACTAATAATAACAGCATCCATAGTCATTACACTTCCAGGTTTCGAAACTAGCGACCGTACGGGATCACAGGTCGGCACATCACGAACCGGGAAAGAGAACGTCGGTACTGTCGGATGCGAGGTGGAGGGTTGACTACTGTCGTGCCTCACGCGCAGCATATGGGATGCGCGCGGTTCGCGATTGGCGAAGACATCCATTTATTGGTGCTGATGTGCATTGTGGACGATGGCCGCGCGCTGTCAAAGTGAGTTAAGTGACCCGGTCGGGAGCGGCAACGGAGGCGGAGGCGCTTTAGTCTTTGAGGCTTGACGAACTTTAATGCTGCGCCAAGCCCCGCACGTGACGACAGGGCTTGTGAACTTCTGAAGGGGTTCGGCGAATGAAGATCCGTCACGCCGACAGCACAACATCGCGTGCAATAATAATATGCAGACGCAGTATGCAGCATACCATCGCAGCTGTGCCTCGCTCAACGATATGCCGATACAGTCGACCTCTTCACTTCCGCGCCGGATTGTCGACTTGGAACGAAGCAGGATTTAGACTTCGCGATTAGGCGAGTTCGGACCAGAAGAGGAGTCTTTGTGCGGTTCCAACACAGCTCTTGCATCTACACGCGTTCAGACGGATGCCAGAGTCAGGGTACCGTCCAGGGCAGCCGGTGATCTGCCAATCCATGGTAGAAACCGCCGACGGGCTTCAATGATCACGGCCAACGTCTTGGCTAAACTCTGCTCATGGCTAGTCGCAACGGGTGCCGCTAGGGGTACATGCACGCCATTTACCGCGACAGCGACCGCGACAGCTCCACCATATCTTCTTTGATGACGCCTCTCCTAGAACCATCATACTGCTGTCCGTGACATTCGGCTCGTCTTCCCGATATTCCAGTCATCGCTACCTCTGACCTCCTTCGCTTCTTCATCGCCGGCCATTTCTGCTGCGCGAGCAAGGCATAGCAAGCCATGTCGGCGCCAGAGGTCCCGACACTGCCTGACCTGAATTCCGGACCACGAAACTTCATCACCACCGATAAAGATCATGGAGGAATTGCGCTTACCATATGTACCCTCATGGCGACGTGGGTCGTTTTGTCTTTCATGGTCCGAATGTACATGCGAGCGACAGTTAGCGGACCTTTTGGCAAGGACGACATTCTTTGTAGTATCGCCACGGTACGACTCCGGACTATCCATCTTCGCGTGATACGACCAGTGCTAATGCTATCGGGCCCCAATAGATCTTTGGGGTGATACAGATGATTGTGGCATCTGCGGCAGTATCGTTTGGCTTCGGCAAGGCACTGGAACTCTTGACTGATGCTCAGGTAGCGAAAGCATCTAAGGTGGCATCGAAGTACTTGGTGGGGAGAATTGGCATTGAGGACTGACCATCACTCGCAGGCCGTATATGCTGCTCAACTGCTATACATCGTGACGAATGCGCTGACAAAATGCACTGTCGCATTACTACTTGCGCGCATCGTTTTCATCAAAAGCAGAGTCTACGCTTGCTACGGCGTGTTAGGACTTTCTGCTCTCTGGGGGTTTGCCTCGTTCCTAGCACAGGCGATCAGATGCGCAGACGGCGCACCATGGAAGCTTGTGGGCAGCCATTGCTCTAACCAATATACCTCGTGGCAAGCGATCACAGCCTTCAATATCATCATCGAGATCTTCATATTCGCCATGCCGATTTGGCTTGTCTGGGACTTACAAACCGACCTCATGAAGAAGTTTACAGTAGTCGCGATTTTTTCTCTCAGACTACCCGTCATCGTAGCCGCAGGACTGCGACTACACTTCCTTTCAGAGACGATCGGATCCTCGGAACCACTTCTCAAAGGCGTCATCCCATTCATATGCCTCAACATTGAAATGCACTACGGATTAATAGCAGCCACAATACCCACCCTGAAACCCTTTGTCGGAGCTTTCAACACCGGGTGGGGCACGTACGATACTCAAGGCATTTCGGGATACGGCCAGAACAGCTCCGCTCACTCCTACGCCATGCATTCCCTCGGCAACAAGAGCAACAAGAGCGCTCGAAGTAATCGAAAGGGCTCGGTGCCATTCTCAGGCACGCAGAACAGCGATCGCGATCCTGGAACTACTGCAGCCCCGCACTTTCCTAAGAATATCACCTATATCAAATCTGGACGCGCAGACCCTACACGCCTTTCTGCTGGCAGCGACAATAGTACCCAGATGATTATTCGACAAGACCGCACGACTGAGGTTCATGTTGAGGATGAGACTCGAAGGGAACTTCATTCTAGTTATGGGGAAGACAGTATTGATCTTGTTAAGAGACCGCCTTATTCGCAGGAACGATAGCGCCGACAATCACGAATCTTGTTCTTCTTACCTCCTTTCAACACCGCGTATTATACCCAGGATCAAAGTCACGACGAACGACTCTCTTTTGCTTTATTTTTGGGAGATGGAAATGTAAGGGATATTGCATGGCGCCGAAGGAATACCTATTTCATTTGGTGGCTGGCTCTTTTGGGCTTGTGTCAGGATTCATGGAAGGTATGTACGTACTGTATGTGTGAGTGAGGTGAACTATAGAACTCGCGAGTCGCGAAGGGGAGAGATATCCCCCCCCCCCCCCCCCCAAACAAATGAACTTTCGTTCTTTGCTCTTCATCAGCCGAGGAGACAGACACGAAAACTCAGCAATTCGAGCATGATCTCCGCATCCAGTTCCAACAACTCGGTCTCGTTGCTTCTTTGGTTCGAGAATGCCTGCTCCCCGGTTCTCCTCGATAATGCGACCAAATCCTTCACAGGCCGATATGCCCGCGCGCGCAACGAGAAGTCCGGGCCGTGTTTCAGACAAATGCATTGGGTAGGGGTTGGTGGCGTTTACGGTTTACCAAGCTTCCTGATTCCTGCCCTGCACTGCACTGCTGCAGTAAAATTGATTCTACTGTTCTTTTCCGGAAGGTTGAGAATGCCAAGACCTCTGGTTTTGAGCCTCGTAGAACACTAAAATTAGGCTTTCTATACCTTCTATTACTATAATTACACCGCCTCTTTTATACTAGCCCCCTAGTATATGTTGTAATAGCTTCTTACTACCGGAGGTCGCTATTCTTGTTACTACGAGTATAGCGACTAAGATTTAGCGTATATACGTCGAATATAACGTTATATCGGAAGTATACGCGACGCGTTCTCGAAAGGTACCTTCGAAGGACCTACTAGCGTATAAGGAAGCGGTAGAGCGGCGCGAGTCGCCTACTAAGAAGAGTAAGAAGAAGGCAGTCGGCGGAGATAGTAGTAGAAAGTAGAAGAAGACGGCGTAGTAGGAGAAGTTTAATAATATAACCGCTTTCGAGGCCGCGGCGTAGAGGGACTTCTAGGTTAACGATGTCGCTACTACTATAGAAGAAGGTAATAACGGCGAGGTTAATATAGCTAGTTAAGTTAAGGTTAGCGAGTTAACGCATTTAGCTAATAGCTCGCTATTACGAGGGCAGTATAGGAAGCGCCTAGTTAATAGTTAGTAGATAAACGAGGAAGACGTATCTACGCTATCTTATAACCCTCGTAAGGACCTTTAGTATAAGTAAACCTAGCGCCTTCTTACTAGCAATAACGAGTTAGCATTCGAGAACTATAACCGCAATAGCGCTAGTACTTAGTACGCCGAAGATACGTACTATTAGGCTAATAAAGAAGCGTAGAAGAAGCAGCTCTATATCGGCGACTATATATTAATCGTATCCGCTACTAAAGTAACGAAGGGTAACTAGTTTAAGTAGAGTTAGAAGAAAGGTAAGGTAACGATATTCTTATAACGGCTACTATTTCTAATCCTTCTATAGCGGACGATTACAATAAGGCCCTCGACTACGCCGTAGAGTTAATAAACGATAGTAGAGACAAGATTAAGATTAATGTCGAGTTTAAGACTGCCGCTAAAGACGCTAGAACTAGAGCTATTCTTAAAGTTAGCAAATTAAAGCTAAACGACTAGTAGACTATTAATAGTGTTGCCTTTATTACTAAGGAGTAGAAACGAGGCAATTACACGACTAAGCTTCTTACTAGTTATATATATACTCTCCCTAGCTACGAGAACTATAATAACTACTACTATAGACCTAAAGGACTGCTAGATATTAAGCGCTATTATTACTAGTTCTATAGTAAGGCTACAAAGCTATAGTTATATATACTTGCTATTAAGGAAGAGGGTGTAACACTTCGAAAGCCGCTATATAGTATATTCGCTAAGATGCAGTTGTTTAAGGAGAAATAGTAGTCTCGGAAGCCTTATAGTCTGCTTACTGCTATAAAGGAGCCCTTCTAATAGACTCTAGCAAGGGGACGCTCTATAGTACTAGTTTATCTACCGCCGCCGGCTATTAACTATATTAAGCTCTTCGAGACTATATTTAACTTAATTAATTAGTAGCTAGGCGTTGCTCCTACCGCTTAGCAAGAAGCTTAGCCTATATAATAATAATAATAATAAGAGTTACCTATTCTAAAGCAGGTTGCTTAGCGGCTTAATATACCGCTATTACGGCAGGGACGGTACGCTAGCTAAGCCCGGTATATACTTTCTATAGAACCGTAGATACTTACCCTAATACTATACTATAGCTAACCTACTAATCGTCCCTCGTGTAACAATTAGTAGCTTCGCTTTAGTTAGATCTAGATCCGTTTAAATAGTACCCGAGTACTAGACGAACGGGCACTTTAAAAAACTAAAAAACCCTACCGCCGCCGCTTAACGCGACCGCGAGGTCCTATGCTAGCGGCACCGACCTACCTACCTAACTATAACAACTACCTACGCTCGATATAGATACGATTACGACAGTCCTCTAAATTCCGTATATTATCTTCTATATACCCTTAGCTATATACCGATAGCCCTTTAATCGACGGCGCCCTATAGCCCTCTAATCGCTAGACTAGGCGGCCCGCCTTCCTTATCTAGGTTTGTTTACTCTATACTAGTACCTGCCGAAGCGGGCACCGGTCGAGGCAAGAGCCTATAAGCACCCTAATAGTTTCTCGAATTCGGTCTAGTTCCTTAACTCTATACTTATCCCCTATTTTTATAAGATTACCGAGCCTACGCTTATTCTATAAATACGCTAGCTTCCGTACGCCCCGATTTAGACGCCTACTCGTTAAATATCGCTTTTTGCTTTAAAGAGTTCTTAGCTAACGCCGGTTACGCTAAGTTAGTATACTAGAAGCAAAGAGACCCGCTTATAGCAGTCGTTACGAAAATTACTACGTATTATTAGCCCCTAGAAGAATATATACTACAAAAACTCTCGGATACTAGAGGCGGTACTACCCTCGGTTTCCCTTAGGATTAGGCAGTTAACCGCTCTTTAGTTATAGTAGTAGCGAAGACGCTGCTTGCTCTCCGTAACGAACTCGCAGTTTTAGATACAATAGGACCTAACGACTTAGCGGCGCCTACTCCGGAACTAGCACCGCCGTTACTAGATATAGTAGTGCCTACAAGTCTAAGTCCGGATACTAGTCTATAGCTACGTCGCCGTCGGACTATTTTAGTAGCTAGTATACGACGAGTTATATATATACGTTATAGGTCCTTACTAATTGTGTTTCCCCTAGGCCTACGAGAACTTAGTGCCTTAGAGCTATTAGTCCCGAGCAGTCCTAATTTGTCCTTACCGGTTTCAGTCGGCCCTAAGTAGTAGAGTCCTAAATAGCAAGGTCCTAAGCAATACGGTCCTAAGCCCGAGCACTAGGATACGGAGTAGTAGAGTCCTAATTAGCAGGCTCCGGAGCAATAGAGCCCTAAGCCCGAATAGTAGGAGCTCCCGGCCCTAAGTAGTCTAGAGTCCTCGTTACTAGCTCCTAAGCTTTAGCGACAAGGTACTTAGTAGCAAGGACCCCGATAACAAGAGCCGTTAATCCTACCCGCTTCTACTAAAGACATAGCCGATATATCCCAAAATATAGACCTAGAATTCTAGCGTATAGACTTAGCATACGTAGAACCTAGTATCGAGCGGGACCTACCTCCTCGATAGTAGATATAGCGCCGCCGATCGGTTAACGCTTTCCTAGGTATAGAAGCTAGGCGTCTAGTCGCGGACCGCTAGCGAGTACGCAACGCGGCCGTAGGACTATCCTCCTAGAACTAGCGCAACGGTAAGCAGCTAGCTTACGATAATCCCTAGCCTTAACGCCTACGAGAGGGCGCGCTACGCAAAGTCCTAGTACGCGAGAACTAGAACGCCGCTAGCGCTAACGCGGCCGCTAAAGACGCTAACGGCGAAATCCTAAACGCTACTAACCTAGCCGTCCTACGTAATAAGATACGCTAGCTGTTTAGACAACTATTAAATTAACAAGTTATCTAAATATAGCAACTTAGGGACGAAATTAGGGACGAGATCGACTAGTTACGCTAGAGCATCCCTTTAAGCTTAGTATAAGACAGGCTCGATACCGGGAGAGCTAAACGCCTCGCGCGTATAGGTTTAAATAAACAGGTCCCGCAGGAATAAGTTCTATTAGCCCTACTGCCTAACCTAGTTAAGGCCTAGCCGCACTAGTTACGCCGTAACGTCTAACGTAACGCCGAGGCTAGACAGCGCCGCTACAGTTAAGGCGGTGCGGCTAGCGGAGGGCCTCTAAGCCTAAGCCTAGGTAATTCTAGTACCTAAGGCGGGAACTATAGCCCCCGAGGTTACAACTTTAACCCGCACTATATCGACAACTTTTAGTTTAGCCGCTTACCTTATTATAGCCCGTAGCGTTCTTAGCGCTTAGAGAGGTTTAATCCGATAGATATTAGGTACTTCTACCCCGACGCCCTATACGCGGACTTAGATAGCTAGGATATCTATACGTACGGCAACAAGGTTATATTTACCTTAGTATACCTGTTCTTAGACGTAGCTTGCGATTACGCGGCGGTTAATTACGCCCGTATA